CTTGTTCCAAGTTTCTGCTCTAAATTTAGACATATTTTTCATTCAGTACCAGGTCACAACCAAGCCATTCTAGGATGATCTCTCTCCAACTCACTTCCTTGCGCAGGCACAGATCAATATAAACAGCAAGGCAGTAGAGAGGGAGCAAAAGGAAAAGAGAGAGCAAAGATTCTTAAAGACATTGAGAGAGCCACAGACATCWCTCTGGTAGTTGAAAAGCTCTGCTTCACTGTGGGTGGTGGTAGCTGAAATCTTGTGTACAGATCAAAGTGAATTCAAGTCTTGCATGTCCCCAGTTCACCTGAACACTCTAATAACAGTCACTGGATCTTCAGGCAAAAGTAGTCTCATCTGTATTTCTTTATCTTTTTCCTTTTTTTTTTTTTTTTTTTTTACATCTGACGCTCCCACCCCCTTCCCTCCCATCTAGCATGTTTTGGGGGAACAAGTCTGTTTAATGGCTCAAAACTTCAAAGCAACCCAGGATTTTTGTTGCAAAGATCCTGACTGAAGCTTTTTCTGTGTCGAATGTATATATGAGAATATAGATACGCATTTAACATCAGTAATCAAAGCTTTTCAAGTAAAAATAAAGAAAGTTTGGATGTGCTTTGCCAAGGTTACTTCAAATTCCATAAGACATGAATGAAAATTACTGCAAAGCCCCTAATTTATTACAAGTTTGCTACCCTTTGATGAAACCACGATGATTCTCAGTAGTACTGTACAACATAGGCTGCAGAAACCTGTGAGGCAAAACCAAGCAAAACCAAGCCAAAAAAAAGAGGAAAAGCTTCTTACTTGTCTGAACTCCTCCAGGTCTATCTTGTTTCCCACCAGCACCACGGGGATGTCGTAGGTGTGCCGGACGCGATAAATGAGCTCCTTGAACTCGGCCGCCTCTTGGAAGGACTGGCGGTCCGTGATGGAGTAGCAGATGATGAAACCTTCTCCACCTCGCATGTACTGGTCCCTCATGGCTGTGAATTCTGCCTGCAGAGCAGGAAGARCATGCTCAGTAACTTGGCAAACAAAATTACCCATCAGTAAATAGCAAACTTGCAGAAAAGTTGCCTGATTCCCCCACATAAATTCACTTTGCTTGCTTTACCCTTGTAAACATTGCTTGTTGAAACTTGTGCATCCTTCTGGGTTCATCAACACCAATAATAAGAATTTCTCTAAGGACATTTTTTTTAAAATCTTTTCCCATCAAGGGAGTTCTGTCCTCTAAGAATATGGACTTATTATGCAAAGCCTGCATACAGAAAATGCTTTCCCATGTATAACCAGAAACTTCTGCAGTACTGCCTGCACAGAGAACTTACAAGGGAATGAATATTAGCAGTGTTAAAAAAAAAAAAAAAAAAAAGGTATATTGCTGCCTAGGGGTCTGGGACAGATACAAATTCCTTATTATGCACTCAATTCGAAAGCTTAGTTATGTCAAAAAGGTATTAATTGATTCCCACCAACGTTGGAATAGTGCCTAGCAAAACGGGGATCTGATCTGCAAAAAGTTCTGCTTTTTCAAAGGCTCTCAGAGAAGAAGARGGTTTTAGTCCTTTTGAGATAATGTTGTTAAATGAGAATGAACAATTTCAAACAGTGAGAATTCACCCAATTTTCTTTTCTCACATTTTTCTGTTTTAGGTATATATTTATTGTCACAGCAACACTTCTGGTTACTGGTATTTTTTTTTTTTTTGGACATATTTAATAACTGCCACATAGTACAAAAAAAAAAAAATAAAAAAAAATCAAGGTTTAATTTTCAAAACTAATCTCAGGCACTTTGGCTTGAGAATATGTTTTAAAGCCAGTTTCTTTCTCAAGTTTGTTTGCTTTCCTTGATCACAGCCCTGAGTAACCCAATACCATGGCAACAGTCAGTCAGGATCAGAATCCTCCTGACAGAATCAGTTCTCTAGAGATATTAAGATGCAGGAAGGTCTGATAAAAAAGGAATACACATATCAACATTGGACCATTCCTATGCGCAGCAGGATGCAGCATCAAGTCCTGTATTTTTTACTGTATTGAGAATTTGGGATAGGATTTTTTTTAAAACATTTTAGTTTACATATATATCTCTTCAGCCCTTGTGGAAATTGAAGGGAAATAGAGTTCTTATGCTCTTTTAAAAGTCTCAGCCTTAAATCTCTCTCAATAGTCGCTCATGTTGATTGACAATACTTCCTGTGAATAGACTTTCATGTTGACCATTATCATTTATTTATGATGTATCTTTTACCCAAAGGCTTTATATATCATTCAAAACATTTCACTTGCTGCAGGAAAAAGTTCATGCAACTAAGCATCAAAATGGCAGACTAACAGGCAATTTAAGGGCAGGATTCTGCTTTGTGATTTACTCAGAATTTGAAAATCTCTGAATTATCACCAGTAGCAYCCCAACTACATTGACAGAGTGGATCTGGTCACAACGCAGCCCATCCTCTTGAAACGATGTGCAGGCAGTAGGGCAGCTGGACACTGATGAAACTGAACACAGAGGATTCCACACTCTCTGGTATGGACAAGACACTGAACAGAGATGTGTGTCTGCTCYCAGGTCTTTCCCTGCCATCTGCATTAGACAGTTATTGGGTTAATGAATGATGCAATATAAAAGTAGAGACCACATTCAAAGTCTCCAAGTTGAGGGCAGGCAGTGCTAATGACCAAACACAGTCATTAAATCCATTACCCACCCTCAAATCCCAGGCTTTTGTACCAGAAAAAAAAAGATATCACTGCAGCCCCCTTCCCTTGTGACCCTGATTTTCTTTTCTTTATAACTTAAAAGGTACAAAGTCTCTTAGAATTGTTCTACATCATGGTGGGTAGGGTAGTGTCCTTTATAGGAGGAACAGAATTAGGCCAAGATTCCTTCAGGCTGAGTGGATAATGGAAACCTTCAGAGAAGTTGAATTTGGGCATTAGATTTCTGAATTTAGCTTGCTGTGAGACTACAGTCCACCATCTAAACTGTCCTTGTAAAAAAAAAATGGTAAACTATTCAATGCTGTTAATGGACTACAGGCTGCTTCTGCTGATGGGAAACAGTTATCCCATTAGTTACCTAATTATCTATTTTTTTGCACCTATTATTTATTGTTAGAGCRTTTCTACAACTGAGTGGAGCTTCTAGCTAAAAGTACATGTTTTCACATRGAACCTAACGCCCAGCCTGGATGACCTGTCTCCCTGAGTTAGAAATTTCATAAATCAACTCCCACAGCACTGCATGACAACTCTGCACAGGCTTTTACAAAGAATGAGCTSGGTTTAAGTGAGGTGATCCACCCCTAGGAAGGGCTCAGAACTTGGCACWCTCATTTATCGCCATTTACGGCAAACTGAGAGGGAATTGGGTCACGCATCCCCGTTTCAGTCGCTCACGGAAAGTGAMGTTCTGCAGCACGAGAACTGCCAGGACGCCTCCCCAGGGATGTTTAATGGCTCTCCCTGACTGACAGGAGACCCTGATTTTACACACTGAGTCATTCCAAAGGGACAAAGTTCTCAGCTTTTAGGGACTGCCACTTGAGTCAGAATCCTCTACCTGCGCGCTCAGATTCGTGCCGGGGCACAGTTAAAACTTTCAGGATATGAATGACTTTACCTATGCAATTTTTTATTATGACATGTTATTGCTGATGATTTATTAGACTAAACAGGCAAAATACTTCAGTGTCATTTGCAGTGATCCATTTTCAGAGGCATTAAGTATKCTGTGCAAATTGGATTGAGAACATAGACTTGGCTTTCTGTTGTTAACTCAGCTAGTCATTTCCATTCCAAATTTTTTTGATGYTGACGTTAATTTCTCAGCTTTTTCTCCTTGGTGTGATTGTTCAGTACAAAGTTAAGGACTCCAAGGTCAAACATAAATAAGACTTTTTTTTTTTTTTATTTCAAAAGAAGCAGATTTTACCTCCATTCACCATCCACCAGGAACTAAGAGGAAAAAAAAATAATTACCAATAAATGTACTAAAATATTTCCAATTCTGTATGCATATWATACATAAAAGACAAAGAATTAAGATGCAATTAAATCTTTTTGACATTTTTAAGTTCAAATCTTACTCTAGAATCCACTTTTTTCATGTTTCTCTACACTAAGCTGAGATAAAACTCAAGTTCACCTGTTTTTTGTGAATGTTCAAGTATAGATAGAGATAAAGCCTAAGGTTTACACAGATTTTTCAGTAGTTTTATATTTATATTTTGCCTGGTTCCCTCATAGAATAGRCAACAGTGTATCTGTGCAGCTGGCACACTAATATCTTCTTTAATTGTTTCCTGATATAAAAGCAATCTCTTAAAAAATCATTCAGGAATAGCACTGGATAAAAATTTCTGCTCAATAAGGGGAAAATACAAGACATTCCCAAGTCAGTAAATGCCAAGGAAAAGAGACAGAAGGAAATCACACCCCCTCAAAAGAAAATCAATTCTGAGAATTAAAGTGAAGATTTGTCATGCTTACAGCACTTTGCAGCTTGACATCAGTCTAGAGTACTCTCTTGWGTATTATGACTAAGACTTAACTGAAAAGTGTGATAAAAACTGCTTTRAAACCAAATCATCATTCTTCTTAGGAGTGTGATACTTGAGAACAAGCACCAAGTCTGGATWGAAACAAAACAAAACTTTTCTGAAAGTTGAAGAAAGAAAGCATAACTTTTTCTTTTTCCAGTACAATTGAATGTAGGAAAAAAGAAAAGCAAAGCCACTAATCCTCGCAAAGATATATATTTCTACCTGTTGCTGAGGAATTTTGGCAAGTAAATCTCTTGGTTATTATGTTGATTCTAAAGTGGTGTCACATTTGCATTCTATCAGTGATCAGGCATCTGACACGTTTTTTTAAAGGTATCAGAATGGCCTCATGATGATATAGAGCAGTTCCCATAATATTCTCAGATGTGTCTCATCCTGTTGTACTGAACTGCCTACACCAGCTTGATTAATTTCTACCTTATTTCTCCCCCTCTTCTGTCTCTCTTCCTCAAACTTTCCTGGGATGTATAAAATSCTGGGAGGCATAAGAGCAGAGCTTTCCTTTGAAGGCTGTGGCAGAGAAAACCTTAAATATATTTGTAGATTCCATGTTCCCCATCATTAGGACATCACTCATTCCAGCAGTATCCCCACATTTCCCCTGATTTTTGTGGAATTGCCAGTGTACCTGTAAAAACCTATCTCATTGCCCTTTAATCTCTTATAATTTTCAACTCTTAGCAACAGTTTACCATTTATAATCCAATCCATTCACGCAGAAGAAATGCTTCCATATCTATTCTTGGGAGAGTGTCCATTTCTGAACTTCATCCTCCTGTATATGCTTGCTTTTTTCTGCCTATTTTTTAGCAAAGGGAAAATACCTAATCTCTATTTTGTCCATCTTGATTTATCCTTTTTTATCTCACTTTTTATGATGAGAAAAAAGAAAACTTTTCATAGAGAGCAATATAAATAATTACTTTTAAATTTTTTACTGTTCTCCTGGAAATGTAAACAGAACTTGTAAACTGGAATTTTTTTCATAGATAGCAGAATATTTTCCAAATAAGATCAGTATCTTAATGTCTCCAGAAGATGAAACAAAGTGATTGAGCAGAAAAGTCAGACTTCACTTAGGTTCCTGTATTTTTATGAAAAATGGGTGTATGTATTGCTGTCAAACATAACAGTCTGGGTCTCATGTTCAGCTCAGGACAGCCCTGCCTTTCTGACTGAAAGAGTCCAGGAAGGTGCTTAAYAAAGTTCTAATGAAATTCAGCAAATCCAAACTTGGTTCTTTACTATTTCCTAAGTATTTCCTCCTGAACAATGCTGCAGAAGAAGTACTGGGCTGGAAAAGCTYTCAGGCAAATCAGAATAGAAGCTGTTTAGAAGAATCTCCCACATGTAAAATCATCATTTTACACCATAAGAGCTCTAAAGTGAAGCCATTTGTCCCAGATACTCATGCTGTGCATA